TTAATAAATATACAAAAAATATACACATTTTAAATAAATGAAATTACTATTAACAAAATAGAGTAAAATAATTATAAAAAATAAATAATTTCAAGAATCGGTAAAATTAACAAAATTAGCACGCATGATAGCTGAAAGCAATAAAACACTGATTTTCGCTCAACAAGTGATTGCAAATGCGAATGCAATAAGGACAAATAACAAAAACAAAACAAAAAAAAGAGGTAAACCAAACTCACGATTAAGCCCAATAATGGCAAATCTGAATATTTTTTGACGCAAATAAACTTTTGCTATTAATTTTGTTCCTTAAGCACGTTGTATTTGCGAAATATCAGTACAAAGGACGATACATTCGGAATCTTCGAAATCGATTTGTTTAATTTTATTAGCTGTATTGCTAACATCGTTTAATTCGTAAACTAAAAAAAAAATAACAAAATATATAAACAAAAGTAAATAAATTTTTTTTTTTTAAATACGTTGAGATAGTTAAAAACGCATTTTAACTTAGAAATTAAATACTTTTGTTATATAACACACATTACGGTGTATGTAAATAATTTAAACTTACCAAGTGTKGAACGCGTTGCTCGACGCTTATCCTTCAATATGTAGATGGCAGTTAAAAAGAAGAAAACAGCACCCAAAACTTCAATAAAACTTGTGGAAAAAAGTGAATATTGCAGCGCTTTGAAACTGTTAATATCGGTGTCCTAAAAATACAAATTGAAATGTATGAAAAATTGAAAAACAAATTCATGCAATAATTCTTAGCACGACCGCTCACCTCCAAGTTAATTTCGAGTAGTTTTTCTTCACGTAATTCACTGACGAAATCGGTGGCATTTTGCTGTAATAAGCTTGTGGCATTCCCTATCAATGTTGCGACATTTTCACTTACTACGCTGGCAGCCTGCGCTAAGAGATTCGTGCTTTCTGTTGTGGCATTACTTGACAATAAACTGTCGGTAATATTTTGACTACTGTCTTCTAAAGTCAGTGACATGCTAGGTATACCCAAACTAAACTCACTAGTTTGAGAGGTAGTGGTTCGCAAATGTCGCTTGATTCCTTCAGAGAGCTGAAATGAATTGTAAGAAAATATTCATTTATCTTCATGTTTCTAAAATTTTAATATTTAATATAAAGACACATTTCTATATTGATACATACCAAGCCAACGAAGTAGGGACTGCCAGCATCACCTAATGCATGCGAGACCAGAATTTGGAAGGCTTCGGCGGTGGAACGGCGTGTCGGCACGACAACATACTGCAATGGTGAAGAAAACATTAAAATAAAACTGAAAAATTATTGCTACTTATATTAAAATATTCTACATGGTAGAAACAACATAAACGAAAAGGTGCGTGCCGAATCAAAATAAATAAAACTTTCTACTATGCAAAATTGTGTTATCTAAAATTAGTAAAGCCTTCGCAATTGCAGGTTTTACGCGAATTAAGCGAGCAAAACAAAAACGTAAAACGTATTATTTTTATGTTTGGTAGGATTTTTGGACGAACAGAAAACACTGGATTTAACTACAATTGCAAAAAGCTACATACAGATGGGGCCATAAACTCAAAGAAAGCAAAAATMCAGAGCAAGTGCATTTGCATCTGGTTTGTGTACAGGATAATGCATTATTTAAAAAGTTTAAATTCCAATCACATACGTTATGAAAGCTAAGGCTATAATTCAACCAGCAGCAAATTAAGAGCGTGACGGAGCTCATTTTTTGAGAATAAAACGAATTCTTAGCCACCACTGTGCGCTGTTGCTGCAATGCGCGTTCCTTACCAATTGACATTGCATAATTTTAGGCATTAGACGAGAAAGAACTGCACATACCAGTATAGCGCAATTCGATAGAATTTAATTTTTAAATTTTTTTTTACAATGAAATTAYTAACGAGTTGTTTTGCTTTTTTTTGCTTTCTTCGGGCTTATGGGTCAAACGAATTTTGTGTTTTATTAAAATTAATGTGATAATGTGCATCAAAAGCGTTTTAGAGTAAGAGTGTGCTTGGGTGTGTACAGGTTTGTTGTGCAAATGTAAACGTTTTATAAATTAATTAAAAATAGTATTTATAACAATATTATTACTTAAAGTTATACATATACATATCATATACATCGCAATTAAAAGGTTAAAGAGTCATTATATTATATAATATTACAAAAATTTGGTAAGGAAATAAAAAGTTTAATGTTTTTATGAAGCATTTATTACCTACAWTTTCTATATCCCCACTAGACCCAGCTTGCTAATTTTCAAACTATGTAGGCATTATAAAAATTTCTGATCCACGAGTCTTTAATTGTTTCAATAGTTAGGTGTAAGAACCTGACATATACACTTATTCATTTATGCATATATGATGAAAACAGCAATATTATAGTTGACGTCGAAACTAAAACTCTTAAAATTTTTAATAATATTTGCACTATTAAAGCAATTATATTAAAAATAAACTAATGTGCGCTTAAAATAGCTGGAAAGTACTAAGGTTGAATCCCATTAGACCAATTCAAGTAATTACTTAGTGATCTATGCCCGCAGATGTAATTAAAGTTACTTAATACCTATGAAATAACTATCTAATAGCAAAAAAAAAACATATATAATATTAAGATAGCAGCAGATTTTAACTATTATTAAGTCAGCAAAAAAGAATGTTTATAGCAGTAACAATGTCTTTAGAAGAATAAGAAATTATATATCCTTCATGGCAGCATTCTTCTACCATAAGAGGCTATAAACAGATTTCTTGATTTTGAATGTTCAGCTTGTATGTCAGCTATTTGCTAGTGATCGAATAAGAAAAAATTAGTTGAATTTAGTAGCATTTTCTTGGGCARTTATCAATGCAAAGTAACGTGAAGATATCTTTCAAATAAAAAAGTTTTAATTTTATCATTTAGCTTGTATAGCAGCTAAATAAGCCCCATACTAGCATATAAGGGAATATGCCAAAGTCATAATTACTGTCAAATAAATATGCTGACGAAATTGAAGCAAAACTTATAAACTTATAAAAAATTGTTAATAATAATACGTAAGCACGTTCAAGTTCGTGGATATTGTATAATGTATGTTCGTGTATATTATATTTAAACYTTAGAACTTTCATTTAAGAAAAGATGCGGAAGGTGAGAAAAGGCGCTAACGTCATTAAAACAAGCTTAAAAAAATGGTAAAAAAAAAAGAAGCAAAAGATTTTGCGGTTGGCTTAGCAATAAGTATGCAGCTAACAGGTATTCTATTCTATTCTATGTGTCTGTTTGTCTAATATCTTCTAAACGTATTTGACAATATAATTTTCAACCAAACAGCTCATTAGATAACAATTGGCACTCGTACATTTAGATAACATGCGATATTCTTCCTATTTCTAGCTGATCATATGTATAGATATATTTAGCAGATATGTATTTGTATAACGAGTGTATGTGCGCGTATGCGTGAATTGGATTGGATGACATAAAACATCTGATCGTGATAAAATTAGACGGCCGAAGAGATAACAAATGGTAATTAGTATGGAGACAGGAAAAAGGACAGATAATATTGAGAGCTATGTGATTTAGATGATGCAAAGAAATATTTGAACAAGTGACCTTTTTTGGCATTTTTTTTACTAAGCAGATCGCGTTTCTAGCGAGTTTTTAGACAGTGTGATTGAATACATATATACAAATATTTTGAATTAATTGCAAATAGGAATCAGCTTAAGTTAGTTCATCGATTTTATCATTTTCAAATGCTCGGCATTGATTTTTTTTTTAATTAAAAAAGAAGTGAAAATTGGGAGAAATTTTAGCCATGTTATTTGGTGTATACAACCTTCAAGGTTTTTGACTGCATATATGGTATAAGACAGAAAAACAGATGGAGATGACTAAATCCACTCAGCTCGTAATGCTGATCATTTATACGATATACTCGTATGTACACTTTATGGTACATTCGACGTTTCCTTCTAAGTTCTACAAACTTCATGGGGGGCAAACTTAATATACCTTGTTCAGGTATAAAAAATGTATTTTCTACTCATCTAAACATGTGTTAAATATATAAATTTTTTTTGTTTCAAAAAGCTAAAAAATACCTGCTAAGCTAAAAATCTACAAGATTTATGGTAGGAGTGCATTACATTATTATGATATTTCTTCAGCTGACAATTTTCTTATATATGCTGTTAAAGTGACAAACGCTTTCCCTAGAGAGTAATGAAAGTGGGGATTCCATATTTCAGCGCTAATCAGATTTATAGAGCTAACAAAATATGTGCTTCTATATTTAACGCGTTTGTATTTATATGCTAAGCAGGGTACTTTAATAAAAGCAGAAGAGCCTTTAATATGAGGCAACAGCACGTGCATACGTAAAATATGATGATTACCAATGCACCAAAGGTTCCACCTACACACACACATTCAACTGCCACCAGGAAGGGTGTGCAACCACAAACAAAAAAGGAAAAAAAATTCAAAGAAATTCGAAGAGCTTAATAGGGGGAGTTGGCGCCAAAATAGAGCACGTGATGTATAAAGCTGGCTGGAAGTCAGTGAGTCTCATAAATATGTGCCATATAAATGTATATATGTAAAGGAATGAGTGAAAATGCAATATGTCAACTCCATGGGGTGTAATTTCTCTCGACATTATTGCTTTTATTATGTTTTTTTTTCAACATTTTGTTTCGAGGGCCAGCAAATTACAAATATTCGAGTCGGCGAACTTACAATACGTGTGTGTATGTGTGTATAAGTGTAGAGTTACTGTTAAACGAATTTTGTTGTTGTCACGCGGTTGCAAAGCAGATAAGTGGTGCATTTTGGCATATAAATAAATTGCAAAACTTTATTATTGCACACACATACATATGTTAGTATGTATAGTAGAAAGGGACTGAAAACTTTCTCGCGTCGTGTGGCCGAGGGGTGTGAAAAGTTTGCTGGGTGCGTGAGTGCTTGACTGTGCGATAATAAAGGCAAATAAATACGCATTCGTATATTTCACTATTTAATACTGATAAATGTGTTTAATTAAAATGTAGTGAAGAATGGCAAAAGTTTCTTAAGAACAAGGCATATAAAATACGAAATAATTTTAAGAATGAAGAAAGGATTGTCTAGCGAAGGAACTAAGAATGACAAATGAAATGTTTGAAAATAGCATTAAGGGAAATTGTACAAATATTTACAATTTTATAAATAAAATTAGTGAAATATTCTAAAATTAAGATAATACTACAAAAAAACATTTTTTTTTTATGTATAGTTTAGCTTTTTTTTGTCTACATCTTCTTTTAAAAAACGTAAAGTGAAATAAATACTATCATAAGAAGCATTCTGAAACAAATTTTTTTTAAATGAGCGGCAAAAGAATACTTGCGACAATAACAAAACTCATGGCAAGTAAATTCATCAACTCTGCTATATTTTTCGGTCCGTTTATGAGACACCTGCATGCTATAGCGGTCCGATCTGAACRATTTAATCGAAGATTATAACGTTGCTTTTCTATGCCAAAYTTCGTGAAGATATCTCTTCAAATACAAATGTTTTTTTTATACAAAAACTTGATTTTGATCGTTCAATTTGTATGGCAGCTATACACTATAGTGGTYCGATGTGAACAATTTGTTCGGAAGTTATACCGTTAGCTTGGAGAACAAACCATCCCACATTTCGTGAAGATATGTATCTCGTCAAATAAAAAAGTTTTCCATACAAGGACTTGATACTGATAGTTCAAATTGTATGCCAGCTATATGCTATATAGTGGTTCGACCAGAACAATTTATTAGGAGATTATATAGTGTTCTTGAATAATCATCCGTGTCAAATTTGGTGAGGACAGCCGGCTACGCACCGGAATTGACTCGGATTTTATCCTACGGCAGACGAAAAGACGGACATGGTCGTCATGTTGCGTCAGGGCTTTCTTTTGTCGTTCACTTACAAAGATAATCAAAAATAGCTTATGTACACTATAAATAATAGATTATACAATAATTGATAATGAATATAAGTACAATGAGTATTTACAAATGTACGCTTATGGATATTTATGTATAGACTAAAATATTTTATATATGAAAGCATTTATGTATGTATGTAATTCATAAAACGTTTACATTTGTTACGTAAGCATGTAAATTTGTATGACTGTAGTAGATTACAACAAAAACCACCACAACAAAACATGTGTACTTTTTTTAGATCAATTACTTTTTGCATTTCTCTTACCAGTAAAATATCAGCCACTAGTGCCCAATTTAGATTCAAAAATAATTGACCGATGAACATTAAAATATASGACAGAACCACGTATTTTGTGACAAACAGCATCGCGGCAGCAAGGAAAAATGAGCTAAAGAATAATCCATAGGCGCATACCAAGGGATCGGCGTTGTTCTTGTAACTGGCAACCGCACGTGACACTATTGGACCGAGTGGCACGCCAATTAGACCAGCTACCATTGTAATAACGCCAAAACGTAACGAAACGCTGTTCAATTTTTTCACGAACAGGTAAACATTACGGGGTTTTTATGGTGCGGTTTTTAAAGTTGAATTTTTTTTAGTACAAAAATGTATGAGGAAAAAACMAAGAAAATAGAAAGAACAAAATTTAGTAAGAACGTTGAAAGCGTTTAAACAAGAAAACTCGTGTTAAGTATAAAAAATTGCAATAACAAAAAAAAAAAAAAAAATATATATATATATATAATAATATTTCATAAAACTCTTAAATATTCTTGCGATTAGCGATCGTACAAGCTCTTTGCTCATTCGTTGTTATAGTTGCGCGCACAGTGTGTGTGTGTTTGAGGGAGCAGACAGTGGTGGTGTTGTGTTATCATTCTTATTGCCTTTGTTTTGCATATTTTCACGCATTTGCTGATGATTGTATCTATTACGCCCGCATTCATTCAGAGATTTTCATATTGTTTTTCTTACCAACAAAATATCCGCCACTATGGACCAGCATAGATTCAGCGTCACCTGCGCCAAAAAGACGAACAAGAAGCAGAACGAGGTTGTGGTTTGTGGTGTCACCAGCGACAAGTAGACCATTGGCGCTGATATGAGCAGACCGAAGGCGCAAATGTATGGATCACAGCTTTCGTGTTGTGGTCGTAGACGTTGCGCCAGAAACGAGCCCACTGGCACACCAATCAATCCGGCTATCATGGCGATGATGCCAAACTTGTACGATACGCTAGTTGATTTTATAAATAGGATTTATGTGTGTGTGTTTTTTTTAGTTTTTAAATATGCTAGAATTTTTGTAAATTGAATTTTTGTGCGTAAACATGTTGAATTATTTACACAGCGTATATGTAAATACATAGAAATCGAAGTTTTTTGGTGAAGCCAAAAATTAATTTTCTTCTAGTAGATATATATGTATGTACATATATCTACATAACTTTTGTTTCATTTATATTATACTCACTCATTCAGCGACAGCTCCTCGTTGCCTGGCTGCATTTTGATGCCTAGATAAATGAATTTAGGTCCCCACCAGGCGAGCGCGCCAGTTACGAAGGCAACGCAAGTGAAACCGGCTGTCGAAAGCATAAAAGAATGATTCTTCACCAAGTCCTTAATATCCTCTGTGTAGCTGGTGGGTTCCAAATGTGGTGAGCCTTCGCTCTCACCACGCTCGGGCTCTTTGATCAATATAATCAGCACAACGGCCACAATGCCCAAGATGGGTGTGACACGGAGCGCCCAACGCCAGTTATTGGCCAAGCGCGCAGTCTCCGAGCCGACAATGTAACTGCATAAATAGAGATAAAATGCAGATTAGTAAGCATATTTTAATAAATTATTTAATATATTTCATAAATAATGCAAAAATTATTTTTAAAAATAACTATAATTGAGTAATTATTTTAATTAAGGAAATGGTTTAGAATAAATGGAAGCTCATTAAGTGCATTATCGAAGAACCGTATAAATCTAAAGAAAAAAGTAAATTAGCGCTAATTGTCAACTTTTGAATAATTGATTGAAAAGAAATCAATCAATAACAAAGTACACTTAATCGATTGACTACAAATTGAGGGGCAACAGCGTTTTCATGCCTTTTTAAATTATGCCGAGCTTAAATAAACATTGCGTACACMACCAATTATTACAAAAACAACTTAAATGCACATAGTCACGCAATCAACGCCGCGCCCGCCTTGAACTGTTTTAGKGGAGGTTCCCTTCGTGACTTTCTATGGGGGAAAGCACTTAGCGCTTATAAATTTTACGATATGACCTTTAAGGAACTGGCATGATGAAATTAAATGATGTTAAGCGACGAATTCGTTGCACTTATTTACTGTAGCCCCTACATATGTACTTCTACTTACGTGCGTATTTGATGTGAAAGAAAATAAAGTAATTGATTTAGATTTGAATTGACAATGTCACTAATAAAATTTCTATTATTAATTAACCTTTTGAACGCGTGCATTTAAGAAAGTTATATAATATGGAAATAAGTTGCAAGCAATTGGTGTGATAAAGCTACAGTGGAACCTCTTTGAGTGGAACATGCGTACATATGAAATGATGCCGTGATTGTTGAAACGCTAGTGTTTAATATTATATATAAAAACTGCTGGTCAAAAAACTAGAAATGTGAGTTAACTTCAAGTATTATTCATTATTTATAAATCAAAATATAGAAAAAATTTTAAACGTAGTCCAATCTGGACTTTATTTTTGACGATTGTATTTTAGCCTTGAACWATAATCCATGCTAAAATTTGCGAAGATATCTTGTCACATAAAAAAAAGTTTTCATACAAGAACTTCATTTTGATCATTTGATACGTTCGGAAAATGTATCCTGGCTTTGGACAATAATTTTTTCAAATAAAAACGTTTTCCATACAAAAACTTGATTTTGATTGTTCAGTTTGTATGTCAGCTATACGAGTATGCTATAGTGGTCCGATCTGAACAATATTTTCGTAGATTGTATCTTTGCCTCAGACAATACACCGTGTCAGTGAAGATATCTTGTCAAACAAAAAAGTTTTTCATACAAGAACTTGATTTTGATCGCCCAGTTCCAATGAAAACTATCCCTAAAGTAGTATCACCGGTTTTGACAAATGAGTGTCTCCTTGTGGGAAAAATAATGTTAAGTTTCAGATGATATGTAAAAACCTGGGCTACTATTGCGCGTATATACATAGCTGATCTCATTATGCTGGGGAACGTTTTTAAACTCATCTATGTTACAAAATAGTTCTCTTTTTTTATACAAATTTTAAAAACTTTCTTTAATAAAAATTATGAAAAATAACAGCGTTATTACTTTGATCACTGTATTCGCCCTCCTCCATCAAACACTTTAACATTCAAAGTAATTTAAGAAACCCATAAACAACCCTCTGGTATGCAGGCGAAACCTGATGCTGGTGAGGGCTTGTCTGTTTTATATTGATATCCACTGTTTAAATTTATTACGTTAAACGTTAATATTTACAGATGACATTTAAGCGTGTTCGTCATAAAAATTCCAAAAATTTAATTTAATTGAAGGAAGCCACCGCCTCTTTGACCTGCCTTGTTTTAGGCAATTGATTTTTTGTTATTGCCATGGGAGTGCATGAGAAAGCACGCGATCGGCCGTTTGCTCGGAATTCTGTTATGAATCGTAATCAATATGCTAAATACAGTTTCCACTGCACAATTTCGTTGAAATCACGCGATCGACGCTTTTAAACTTTAGCTAGAAAAGTTAGCTAGGGGTGAATGACTCAACAGAAAGAAATACACTTAAGCACATACATACACACATATATAAGGCGGACTTAGTAATATTACTATAAAAATATTTATAAAATCCTTATCAAACTTTTCAATGTTATTGTGATCGCTAACAAGTCTAGAACTGCAGCAATGAGATTACCAGATCCAGTGCCATAAATACTAGAATGTGCGTAGACTAAGGTTATCAGAACTAATATTAGCAAACTTGTGCAAATTTATAATATAATAATAATAACAAATAAAACTGATAAGCATACATAGGCTATAATTAAATATTATATAAACAGATTAAAAAAGAACGACATAAACATAAACACAATCGATATTTTTCGTATGAATAATGCATACAATGCATATTACTACAATTCTTACCCAAATCCTGAACCAACTGGAATCGCGAAATAGAATAACGCCAACATTTTCGAACGCAAATCGTGTATGAACAAATCGGAGATAATGGTGGGCGCTATGGTACTGTACGACGCTTCTCCTATACCCACTAACGCGCGGAATGTGATGAAACCACCGAAGCCGCCCATAAATGAGCCAAGCAACGTTGTTGTCGACCATAACAGAACACCGATTGCCATAATCCAACGACGCGAATAACGATCGCCGAGGTAACCAAAAAGTGGCGCACAAACCATATATGAGAGCACAAAAGCGGTCTGTAGCAGACCACCATCATCGTCACCAATTTTAAAATCTGCTTGAATATCTGTTAAAACACCTGAAATATTTATTAAAAGAAGAAGAATTGAGGTTAGAAAATTTATTTTTAAAAATAATTTGTTAATGGAAGGTTATGAAGGAAGGTCAGACACCTATAGTATATACATACATATATAGCTATTATTCAAAACTGACCCAAGATAAAGATATTTTTATACACTTCTTTATTATAAGAAATATACATAATTGTTAAAGAGGTTTATAGCTTCTGTGCAGCTGAAGTTAACGTTCTTTGTTGTTTTTATAAGTTTTGAAGGCGATATAGGGTGCGAAACGCYTTTTAAAAAGACGAACTCATAAAGAATGGTCATGAAGGTCGCTTGGGATTCATATAGATTTTTGACATTCGCATATCGTTTGGCAACTCTTTTCAAAACAGCATTTCCCAATTGTATTAAGATATGCTAAAATGCTGTGTGCGGCTTACGCTTCATCGATAAATGAATGAATGCCATTCAAGCTTTGGGCCCCGTGCCCCATGACTCTAATTTTAGCACATAACATGAACACACCGTAATGATAATTACAATGATCATATTTAATTAACACATTCCAGCAGTTGACGTTATTGYAACCGCGCTGYTTATAYGTACATATGTACGTGAGATTGAAGCAGAAATAAATGAATAAGTAGAAGACAACATTGGGTACTTCTCGCGCGTTCGTAATGATACGAGTATCTGACTTGCAAGCCTTTAATGGAAATTTAATTGACACTTCAACTTCTTTATCGTGTGATATTCRCAGAAGTGGCGCTATTTGAAGAAAGTTAAACAATTTTCCATTAACTAGTGTGCTAATGGGTTGCCTTAGAATATAGTGCATTTGTTAAAACGTGAAAATTGGAGATTCTACAAACAAAACGCTCATAGTTCCAGGAATACTCGCTTTAATTGAGTAATTGCCATTGCAGATGTATAATTTTTACTTTAATAAGAAAACGTTCCAATATTGTGCAAGCAAAAGTTTTAAGTATATTCGAGCACTCATTGTGTGCAGTGTATTGGCGAGAGTCAATAGCGCTGGTAACCGAATGATTTTTCGCTTTGACAAAGCTTTATAAAAACAACAATTGCCATTCAGTGGCGACATCAAATTGCAGTGCCCCTGTTGACGTTCAAGGTTGCACGCGGCAATCAATTATTATCAGTCTCATGCGCATTTAGTCATCATCGTTTTCTGAGTGTCCGGTGTTTCACTTACTACTGAAATGGTCAGTTAATCATTGGCAAATCATTCCGCAACACAAAACTGTTTAATCTAAATTAAGTAAAACTAGTTTAAGCGTCCGTAAATAAATTTCTACTTAAAGTATGCATTTGTGCGACGAGAAAATAAAATATAATGAAGTTCATTTGCTGATGGCTCAAGCTTTGCTTTCAGCTAAGTTTTGCTTTTTGTTGCATTTAACCYTTAGATGATTTGAGTTTTGCGGTCAAAAACTTTTATTTTATTTCAGTAACTTTGTGCGGATTGCTGCAAGCTGGCCGCTTGGCGTGACTAATTGCATTTGCATTGGTATGCATTAATACTCTTCAGCGGTTTCATTAAAAAAAAGTTTCATAGAATCGAATAAGCTCAAGTACAAAGAATTTCTACAAAAATGCTTCTAATATGTACATACAAATATTGTGGAATTTTGAAAATATTCAAATATATTGGGAGTCCACTTAATCACGAACACAAATATTTGGGTGGTAAAAAGCCTTCGCTGAAGGTCGTGATGTCATCAAAAACTTCCCTCATGCGATTCGTTAATTTTTTTTTTTTCCAAACATAGTTGAATGCTATATTAAAGATTATTAAAATATGTGAAAAATATTATAATTTTTTGGCTGTCCGGGTCAAATTTGATCAGATAAACTCCGCTTGATATACGTATGCATATGCAATGCATTCATACATATTTATTTAGTATTTTTTTTTTTCTAATTAGTCATCCATTATTTTAACTTTGAAACACCGCACCGTATACGCAAATGAGTGTTTTGCTTATCAAAGAGAAAATACTATGTAGAGATAATTTAGTATAATAGTACATAATTTTATGGTTATGAATATTTGTTCATTATTTAAAATATGTACTTATCAACAAAACAAAAAAAAAACTGTTTATCCAAGATCACTCATTCTACAAAGAATTCAGCACAAATCGACGGAAATGATCTTTCAGAACTGACAATAGACTGATTCCATTAGATGGAGCGAGACAATAAAACTGTTTTGAGTTAAATTTTAACTGTTAACTTTTGAGTTAGCAACTAGCAAACTGATTTCAAATGCTTTTACCTGTCATAGAACTCATTCATATGTTTATTACTTCATTATATTCACACYGGCAGCGAAGAGTGCGAGCGGCGTCCAAATTTAATGAGTTGGGTGCTAAAAGCGTCACTTATCAATGTGTCAGCACAACCTTGATAATAGATCACATGAATGACAATATGATAGGCTATTTAGCATATGTGTAAAGTGGTGCCCACTAACAACAAAAAAATACTATTCTAATAAATAAAAATAAAAAAAAACACAAAAAAAGAAAAAAAAAACGCAGATGCACATTCCGCTGCTTGCGTAGTAGCGCTCCCCCAAACACCCACCATACGGAATATAAAGACTATAAGTTTGCGGTAGTTAATTAATACATACACAAATATATACATATGTACATACAGWTTACCTGAAATCACGATAAAAATCACTTACTCAAGTTAAGTATTCAATGTTTGCATACGTTTAGCTACATTCTAGCTATTCGTGTGATGTACATACATTTATAAGCAGCACAACATAGTAAAGTAGTATAAAAACAAACACAAACAAAAGCGTCTAGGAGTGTTAATGAAAGCGTAGCGTGGCGCATGGTCGAGAGAACTTGGCTGTCATCGGAAAACGCAACAAGTAAACGGAAGAGTAGCAAAAATAGCAAGTGACATACATACTTTACGTGTATAAATATAGTATAATACATACACACTTAAATATCTAAAACACACAATGAGTAGCAGAACTAGTTCGCTGCAGTGCATGTTTTATAAGCCAGTTTGCGAGTGGAAACGCTGAGTCAGACAACAGACACCCAACGCCGAACTGCTTGCCCATAATTGCCAACCGCCTTCAACACACGACGTGGCCGCAACGACTGCACGCAAAAAAAAAACCCAATAAGCCAACAAACCCAAGCAGGCGTAYTGCCCCGCAACTTTCCCGCTATTCTTGCCATTAGTGCACTTCAACACAAGTTTTTAGCGCTTTTGCTACTACTGGCATATTCGCGTTTTTTTCCCTCTCTGTTTTTAATTATTTTCGTTGTTATTTGGGTCTTTTTATGAGAAATTTATCGTACGATTTTTTCAACCAATCAGCGCTTGCGCTCGSCGGTATTAGCCAGCAATGAATAAGTGACGTAATGGCAAACAACACTGACGGACGAACGATGTCTACGTAGGCAAAGCAAGCCAAAAGCAGTGGTGAGCTCGGCAAGCAGAAAAAAAATCAACCGTGAAAAGGCGAAACGCTAAAATCGAATTGGTTGGGGGCCGTTGTTAGTTGTTGTTATTGTAACGGCCGTTGTTAGTAAAGCTAGGTGGCACTCTAGAGACATGCAAATACATACATATGTATGTGCATACGTAGAAATGGTATGCGCGTCAACACGTAAGCATCCATAAATGAGAAGATTGCGTTATGGCAGTCGAAAGCCAACGAGTATAGCAGTTGTGGGTAGGAATAATGTTTTTAAAATAAAATAAATATCATTTAGAAAAATTGAATTCAGCATACTTTTGTTTGTGTTTGGGTTTCCAGACGAATTGAAGGCTTGCCTCACTGACTTACACTCGGTTTCGTCGCTTTTGAAGTAGCTATAGCAATAGAAGTGTCGAGAAACAGAAAGATTTGCATTCAATGTCAATGGAAAGCAAACATAATTATCAAGTTATAGCGAAAAGAAGTAATAGTAGCAGATCAAATAAAAGCTGGCACATAAATCTAGTATCAGTTTAGAAGAAGAAATGGTAAAATAGTCTGCCAATATGCTCAAGAGAACCAGTTTGCGAAGCCGGCACCGGCGAAATAAATGGGAGAATGTTGCCAGCAATACAATACTACAACGTACACATGTACTTAACTACTGTAGATTTGGTGGAGGTCTTATGATCGGGCAAAAGTTAATTATAAAACGTGAGAGTATAAATAAATCGGAGGAGTATAGGAAGATACATACTCTTAGCAGCTGCCGGAATGCGATTCGAAGGGTCAAATTTAATAAAATTTCAATATATAACACTAAATAATAATAAAAAAAGTAGTATATAAAAAATAATATTTTCCCATAGTTTTGGAAAAAAAAAAAGAAAAACTCAAAGGCGAACTKTTCCGAAAATACAATTAATTCCCCCTTTTCGAAGAGTCTCTGAACATTTTTGAAATGATGTCAATAAACATCTTACGGTTCATTTTGACCAATTAAATATTAATTTATTCGAACAAGTTTTATTCCACGTTGAACTTATTAAAATGTGTTGACTCATTAGCTGGAAATAGCGGCATGAAGTTATATATTTGAACGTTTACTTGCACATTATAATTTTTGCGATAAGTTCAACAATTTCAAAAATAGGCATGATATTTTATAATTCTAGTTAAATAAATAGATAAATATACATATAATTTTTACATATTTATATGTAGTKTATATTGCGGTAGGGTTAATGCAGCTTATTGCATTTTCTATACATAAGTTTCTACACATAATAGGTGCCAAGTGGAGGCCACTGAAAATTTATACTAATATGCATTTACATAAAAACATACTGCGGCGTTTGTAAAGAAAAGGAAAGAGGGAGAGATGCATTTCGGTCAATGACATGCACCTAGGCTACTTAAAACTATTTACATACATATGTGGAGGTTTAGGGTGTGAATATGCGCCAAATTGCATTGCTATGGAAGGCGGTGCTCGGGCGTCACTTTAAACGCCAGACACCTGAACGAGTA